CCTGAGCAGCTCCTTGAGCTAGTGGTGGTGCTCTGGGTTGCTGTCCTGCAGCTTGAACTTGTTCCCTCTGTGGAACCGGATTCTGGTTGTTTGGATTGACAACTGGTGGAACAACTTGAGAATGCTTCATACTTTCTACTTCCTGTAGTATTCTAGCTTGAGTTTGTGCTTTGTTCTGTCTTTCAAGTCTTCCAAGGTCTGGAACCAAGTTGAGAAGTCCTCCTGCTTGGCTTCAACTGCAAAACAAACACAGAAAAGAAAACAGCAAACACAAACACAGAAACAAATGCAGAAACAGAACAAAATTACAGAACAATAAGTAAACAAAAATGAAAGCTTTAGTCTCAACCAAACACTCAAATCTAATATCTAAATGCGCTAGCTTCCCCGGCAACGGCGCCAATTTGATGAGAAGGTTTCTTCCATGCAAATAAAACCTAACCAACCTAACAACCTAACTCATGATTCAATTGCAGCAAGTGAATGACTTCAAACACAGGGAAGGCAAGGACCTAGAGTACTAGACTAAAGAGTATTTCGGTTAATCTAAAGCGTCAAAAGGAGTTTGGATAAGTTGCTCTACACTAATAAGAAATGTAACAATACTGGGAATGCACAAAACAGAGATGTGAGGATGTATGCAATGATAATGGGAGGTATGAAGCATCGGATTAGCAAACGATGAGAATCAAAAGATTGCGGCTAACAAAATTAGGGACTTTAACCAATAAGCTCAACTTTTAAGCATGGGGCACGAATATAGGTCATCCCACTTTCGTGACGCTACTAACCACTATGTCGAGTACGAACATCTAATGAACTTTCGCTACTAGATATAGATACTCTCCAAGCTTAAAAATCAAACCCCAATAAGCTCACTTAGCTCCTCTAGACACTTTCGTGGTCAAAGAATCACTAAGCTGAGCAAAAGGTCGGTCTGGCATTCCGACAAACAACTTTCGGGCAGCGGAATACCTCAAGACGAGATTCAAGGCCGGAACGAAGAACCAAGCTTTATCCACAACCTAAGCTCGAGAAACATAATACACATGTCGATGTTGAGTTAGCCATTTCTCTAAAGCTTCTACATCTACTAACCCGACGCTCGACGAGCAAACTACTCACTCATGGCTACGGGAAAAGCTAGGATTAAGCTCGAGTAAGGTACGAATGATGCGATGCAAAGATAAGTGCGATTAACAAGTAAAGACTGAAACTTTAAGCTAAAGACTGAAACTTTATAACAAAAATAACTTAGAACATCCAAGATCCAATGCTCTAAGGGTCGATTACAACTAAACGTAAATGGATAGCTTGAAAGTAAAAAAGGGAAAGAAGAACAAAAGAAGACTTGGGTTTTTCAGGGGTTAAGAACAGATTTATACCCCTCATAACAGTACCCGGGTCGACCCGAAGCATAAACGGATCATCCAGTTCGAGTCAACGGTCGATCCGGAAATGTCAACAAAATGCATTAAATATCGGTCACTCCATATCAAGAAAGTGACCGATTTCCGTTGCGCCTTCAGCGCGTTCAGCAGCTCTCGTATCGCGACACCAGCCCCTCGATGGGCGCAGTATATCGGTCTTCCTCATCGGTGGGTGGTGATATCAGGGGATATCGGTTTTCTCTGCTATTTCTTCAGTCGGTTTGATGCGTCTGATCTAACGGATAGAGAGTCTTGATGCTCCATCATATCAAAGGGATAACCTGGGGTATTTGTGCATAGGTTAAGGGGCACTAATTATCTGATTCTCACCCAAACTATGAACTTTAGTGGGTTTGTTGAGACTTCATCCTTTAGCTGTTCCAAGTGCTTCCCACTGACATTCCTCGATGATTCATGACCGATTTCTGCTCTACTGCTCCTTATCTTGCTCCAGAACCTTGCAATTCCCCTGTGCATCCACTCCTTTGTTCTCAACTCCAATCCTCTAGGCTCTAGTAAGTTGGATAGCTCCAATTAGCATAAGTACCACCTGAAAAGGGTAAAAGAAGAGAAATATTTACAACTCTAACCTAGGACTCTAAAATGCAAATATGAACTAAACTAGAGCTAAAAAATGCCTAAATGATGCAGAATGATGCTAAACAGATGATAAAATTATGTAAATATGTACACAGATAATGCAAATATATAGATATATCAATAGCCAGTAAATAGTTAGCTATTTTTGAACCATAGCCAGCTAAGTAGTTAACTATTTTCACATCGATTATGATTTTCGATTATAGTCAACTATGTCGATCTCCATCGAATACCATCTTAATACAGGATTGATGATTACGTCTATGGCAACGAGAAGAAGAAACAAATTGAGAATTGAAGAGTATCTTCTTTTCTTCTGGATTTTGTCGAGAAATTTGATTATACATTTTTAGTATTTGATGAAGTAGTAGACATTCACCCTGTTATTATTGCCAGACTAAAGAATAGATCAAAAAACACTTAGGTAACTTGGGATCTCTCATGTTTGGCGATTGTTGAAAGTAGAATAAATTAGGGAAAAGATTGAATGCAATAAAAATCTGAAAATAAAAATTGTTGAAATCAATGGAAGGGATGTTATCAATCGA